GGCGGCCGACGTGGGATTCGCCGAATAATTTCGAATCCGCAGATGAGATCGAGTTGAGTGCGTTATGCGCGCCGCCGTTATTATAAGAAACTATTTCTCGCGAGCTATATTATATTCGCGGTTCCTTTCATTACGAGGATTTCCGCGTAATGACGATGTCACTCCGATAATCAGCCTTGGCTGTCTGCGAAGCTCAGCGGTTCCCAAGCCCTCGTGGCACAGAAGATCATTTGATATAATTAAAAGATGAGACTTCCTTACGATAGAGAAAGGTCAGAGGAAATATAATTTTTAATTAACGTAATAATATATCTTTTATCGCTTTTTTTTCGCTCTGCCGTGCGTGGATTATAGCAGTGTATATGTAGTATTATATTTAGTAGCGATAAAGCGATGAAGAACGAATACGAATGTTTTTATACGAAGGTCGAATAATTACAATGACAAATTATTATTCTCATGCGTATCATATCGAGATAACATTTAATGGAAGATTGAAGTCACGAAAGAGAGAGAGAGAGAGAGAGAGAGAGCGGGCCATACGGAATACGAAATCGAAGTAGACCATCTACTTCTGGGACTTTCAAATCGATAGTTACAGAATATAATGTGACGTAGCGCCTTTATTTCAGCTTACCCTCCCAGACGCGAGCGGCGAAAGCCGTCGGCCGTCACTTTTCCTATTTGGGAAACACTGTCCGCGAATGTAATCGATGAGGTACGCATCGCGATATTCGGCCGCCTCTCATGACATGACACGGCAGAAATTCACCTTCGGCTTTCATTTCCTCTTTTCCCTCGGGGGCATGAGTCGAGATTCGGATTCATATACGCGCGGGGGTACTCTGCGTCCTGCGCGTGCCCTAATAACTTCAGCAAGATCATCCGTCCCGATAAGCGCGACAACGTGAGCTGGAGCATGCCGGGGAACGCCGTTTCAGCGCGACAAACGCGAGTGCACAATAATAGGATACGCCCGGCGGCGTAGGCGGCACGTGGAATAAAGTATATAATTTTCATTCGAATCCCTCATCCGTTCCTTCTCTCTTTCTCAGGAATCTGTTCGGGTCTGCGGGGAGTGCGCATCCAGATACCGACGGCCGTGAGGAAGGGCGACTCGGCGACGCTGAAATGTTGGTACGACACCGAGGGCGACCCATTGTACGCCGTCAAGTGGTACAAAGGGGGTCGAGAGTTTTATCGCTATGCTCCGAACGAGAGTCCGCCCGTCAAGACTTTCCCCATCGGAAACCTGACGGTGAAGGTAAGTTTGCTTTCGTCCCCCATCTCCAATCCGAAGTGACGGACGAGCTTACAACCTTCGGTGTCCCGCGAGCCATCGCAAAATCTCGAGATCCGTCCGTACCCCGGTGGGATCGCGCTGAGAAAAAAAGCGGGTGTCAAGAAGAGAGAGAGAGAGAGAGAGAGAAGGGGGGAAGAGAGAGAGAGAGAGAGAGAGAGAGAGAGA